AGCGGGGCTTATTGCCGGGATGTAGAGACGTATTCGGGTCGCTTCTGCGCGGGAAGAGACGGCCGAATGACCACGGCAGTTCGAGATACTCATTGATCGGGGATGTCAGTGATCCCGCTGCGGCACAGCAAACGAAACGAAACAGCCTTATTGACGTAGGACAAGACCCGAGATTCACATGGGAATATGCACAGTCACAATCAAGCCCCGCGCTCCCGCCTCGGTATGTCGGGCGGCACAGCAAACGAAACGAAACAGCCTTATTGACGTAGGACAAGACCCGAGATTCACATGGGAATATGCACAGTCACAATCAAGCCCCGCGCTCCCGCCTCGGTATGTCGGGCGGCACAAAGTGGTGGGATTCTTAAGCTTAGTCGCAAACGTCGAAGACATGTAAGCGCAGGGGAGCAAGGGGGGCAGAGGGACTGAATGGAGGCGGTCTGGTCGAACGGAACGGCGTGAGAATCTTGCTCTCGAAAGCGCATGTGATTGTGAGACACAATGTCGACGGACACCAGGAACCAGGAACTCTGTCCCAATCAGGCATCGATGTTCCTCTGATCTTGGACTTGTGGGTGTGAAGCTGTCGTGTGTCTGGCCGCGATGGTGGCTGCCCGTCGAGAGCATAAGCGCCCTGGACAGCTGGCGTTTGATGCACGACAAACGGCGCGGGCGGCAGAGCCAAGCTGTACGCTCCCAATAGTGCGTGAGTTTTCGTATTAATCGGGGAATGCGGGGTGAAAGTTCAAGATTTGGTGCGCATCCATCTCTGTTGGACAGTTGGAGTAGCATCAAAAGAACCCATCCCGAACGAGGTCGGCTGATGTAGATCGCCAACCTGGATCCTTGCACCGGCACTGGAGCCAGCCATCCACGAGGTTCGAGTCTTTCGGATTTGGTATCCTACCACGGTAATGGGCCCGAGACGCGTGGGGCTCCGGATCGAGAGATGTGCGAAAGAATCGAAGTTTGTCTCTTCGAGTTGAGAAGCAGCCGTGGAATCCGCGCATACAATCTATGAAGCGGGCAAGTAACACATACAAAAACCGTTGAGGGGGCGGATAGGTCGGGATATTCCACCAGTATCTTAGCTCGAAAACAGAATCCACTCGAACGATATTCGCAATGGGGGGATCATACATGATTACACTAGCATCTCGGCGGGGTGCTTTAGTGCGAGTCTGATCACACACACACGCACACACGCACACATCTGGATGCACACATATCTTTCATTCTCGAAGATGTTCACTGGTCAACTGAAGTTTTGGAAGTTCCCGAAAGCGAGGAACGAGAGAAACGAGCTGACGATCTGAGAGGCACAGTGTCCATAGTCCCGAAAGGGAATACTTGCTCCTCGGCCGGCCGCGGACACGAGGCGGCCAAAGAGCGCTAGGCACGTCAAAATCAGCTCGCGGAGCCTTCTCCGTCCGAATTGAGAACTTAGCGCGTGACGGGACGTTGAAAACGTCCGAAAGCCTCGGCCGAACTACTAGTAATCAGCAAATGGTCTTACATACAGATGCGGCTCGTATGCTTTGACATCTTAAGCATGTGTCTGCCATGCCCAGGAGCAATGGTGTGGCACGTGTTGTCGTTGAGGGGGCGGAAAGAAGAAATGTGTTGTGCATGATCTTCCACATTCTGCGTGCAAGCTTGTTCAGTGGGAATATCATCGCAAGAAAACCACCCCGATTTGGGGTCTTTCACCGCCATAGAGTAAGGTAAAGTAGTTAATATATTGTTGCGGGGATAATGAGATTGCCGGCTTCTCAACACATGTGGAGCCGGAATTTGGGCAATTTCAAGTTATTCCCTGCTCGACAGATGGAATTATTTGATCCCATTTCTAGCAGGAGCGATGGGGTCACCTCTAATTGCTTAGAATTTCCTTTGAACTCCTTGAAAACTTCACTTGGGCATGAAATCTCTCGCGCCGAGACAGTTAGTATCCGCAATTGTTGAGCACTTACGTATTTGATAGATACTTTCTACGGAAAAAGTCCTACAGCCTGTGAGCTAATTTAAGATGTCCGAACCCTTATCAGACGGCCGAGCCGCAAACGAAGAGTCAGAGAAACTCGCAAATGTTGCCAAAGAAGCTTAGTGCCGCAGATGTCAACTTTTCAATAGACAGGAACAATAACAAAGGCATTCTCCTGACAACTGCTAGCCATACGTGCATTGACACTGAAGATCAAAGTGATCCGCCAGGTGCGGACACGTTTTGCGCCGTGACCCTAGCTCCCGCGGCTATGAATACACTAGACACTTTAAACTTCAGGACTGTGTTCAGTCTAAGATGCTCAAGCGTGCGAGCAACGGTTCATCCGTCGTCCAACCCGTCGATTTGAAATGTTGGCTCGCTCCGCTTGCAGCTTGGAGCTATCTGAAAACCCCCAATTTTCTCTATCCGCCAAAGTGTGCGCCAAGGCTAAATATCCCCATTAAACCCCTTGCGGGAAAATTTGCGACTGCAGCGTGATGGATCGTTTGCATCTCTCCAAAAAGGTTCGAATGACTCAGGTCAAAGATCGTCGCGAAAGAGCTGGGGAGTGGAGAACCTGGGACTTCCCTTACTTCCCTCTGGGCTAGGTACTCCGAGGACCCGTGCGCGTTGAAAAAGCCTGCACGCTTGGCCCCATTTTGTGCTGTGTAGTCCGTAGGTACCTGACAAAACTGCAACGTGGGCTGTAAGTGACTCGAAGGATATAAGGGATGTGGTTCTAGTCGAATTTACTTCGTACAACTGTCGACCGTAGAGAACTTACGACGCAAGTCAAGATAGGGTAGGTACGGTACGATGGGTAAGGGGGAAGCTGCATCTGTACACCAGGCATGGCCTCTCAATCAGGTCTCCTAGCTTAGAGCTAAGTGTCGATTTCGAGAGGAACTCCTCCATGCAAAATCACATACCATTAGAAAGATGCTCAAAACGGTCCACCTAGCTGAAGAAAGATCAAAGGCAATAATTGAGGGCGTTCATGTTTGTTATTATGCCCTAGAAATATTATAGCCAGTCCAGATACTAGCAGAATGAACCATGACAAGATATTAGCCCAAGCATTTCCCCATGCTGTTGCCATCGTACCACAAGGGGTAATAGAGCATCCAGAACAGTAAGCATGTGTTCGATCGAATGGTTTATGGCGGGCAAGTGACTGATGTGACGTGTTGCGTGAAGTCGAAGGAGGATTTAAGAAGTTGAGATCGGGCATCAGTTCTCAGCCAAGTGATTTGGGTGGTAAGAAACATCCGTCTGGCTGAAGGCTCAAATTGAACTTTCTTTCCTATAAGACCAACTATCGCTCTTATTATGGCGTTGCTATCCTGTGGAAGTTACACGCCTCGGCCGGTGTGAGAAAGACAGTCGGATCAAGGTCCATGCTCTCACGAGTCACGCTTGGAATACAGGGAAAGTATCATTAATTTTGAGTTGTCTCGGGCTGTTCTCTTATAACTTGAAGGTGCATATAGTTACGGACGTAGGTATTTATGCTTACTTCAGTAGTTGGCATTCCTATAAACGACAAGGTAAGTATTTATCTACTTTAGATTTTGCGATGGAATCCTGAGCTTTCACCATGGCCTTAGGTTTTATAACGCAAAAGCGCCGGAGAAAGTCCAATAAGTATGTATGATTTCAGATCTTGGCCATGGACAGGCATTTGGGTGCACCCGAAGTCCGTTGACGCTAGAATGCTTTCGCTCGACCGTGGCAGCCACAGCTCAGATGTGAGGCAGTGGTGAACTCACAGTATGAGTATCAAGCGACCGGCGGTTCTTTGGCGCTAATCAACTCAAGGCGAAGCATTTCTTCAATCGATAGAAAGCTGAAATAGCTTCGATTTGTGGAGCTCCATTTAGGCATCCTGAGAGAAGGCAGTCCAGCATATAAAGCCACACGAGGTTTGACGACACGGGCGCAAGAAAACCTTAATTTACCTATCGAATGGTAGCTGCATGTGGTTTGTGATCGTATCCATGTGGTTGAATACGAAGAGACCTTGGAATTAGCTTTGTAATTGTGTATGTTACCCACGGGAAAGAGATAACGCCCGCATGTGCTGCGATGTCACTTCCACTGACCTTGACGATGACGAAGAATCTACTGGTCTGGGTGTTTCTTACAGAACTGAGCATCCGGGAACCAGGCACTGAATCAAGAGCCCAGATTTCAAGGAATCTAAGCAAGGATATTGCCTCCATCTCACGAAAAAGGGCCGCGATATAAGTAGACAGATGAAGTTCTGAAGCTTTAATTCCAGTCAGCGACAGGGAGGGCGGCCATCCAAATACAGTTAGTTCCCGGATGTGTAGGCACTCTGCTTTGTTCCAGCCCTGTAGTCGGATGCACCTTGCTGATGACTTTTGAGTCAAGAAATGGACCAGTCGCCTTACAATCTCTCTACTAAGGCAAGTTTCGAATACTCTAGACCTCGAGGCCCTCATACTTTGAGCCAATCTCACCAACATCGCAGAGTACTCATATGCATTCTTACCCGCGTGGAAGAAGCCGACGGTCTTTAAATGCTCGAAATCTGCATTTAGTCACCATCGGTGACACGCAAATTAGCTTCGGTTTCGGTAACAATGACTTCGCTTTGGAACAAAAGGTCGTGACGCGGCGAGAACGACCGCCAGCAATGTTTTCGGACCTAAACGGATAGAGGGCTTTGGATGCTAATCGGACTTACCTTCACCTCCGGATGTACGTCAAACTCATAGCTGCTTCGTTCAGGTGCATGATGCATCCGTGGATCAGGTCGGGTTTGGTGTACTGGGCGAGGAAGCTTTCCTCGTTGAATCTTCCTTGTGATGACCTTATTTGTCTACTCAACAGTGTGATAAATCCAGGAGACGGAAGATTACTTATCGCATCTGATTCTCACCCAAGCAACCGTCTTTCGTTGCCTTCTTCATCCTCATCTTTACACACATTCAAATCTCGAGCAAAGCATCTCACTCCTAATTATAAGAAAACATCTTCTGCGACAATGTTCACCCCGGCCAAGGTTACATTCACTTCTCGCAGCTACAAGCTTGCAGACCACTTCTTTCCTCCTGTTATCGATTCTCCCGCCCTTTCTGGAGCAGCTGTCGTCATTGCCCACCCTTGAACCTCAGTCAAAGAACACTACCCTATCCACTACGCTCGCGTCCTTTCTCAGGCCGGCTTCTATAGCCTCGCCTATGACGCGGCCTACCAAGGAAAATCCGAAGGAGAGCCCCACTACCTCGAAGACCCCGGTCAGAGGGTTGGGAATATCAAGTCGGCGGTCACGTACCTCTTGAGCCGCGATGAAAACGACTCTGAGAAAATCGGCGTTCTAGGAATCTGCGCACCAGGCGGCTACGTCTCCTTCGCAGCACAAACCGATCTCCGAACCAAGGCTGTCGCAATCTCTGCCGGCGTTTGCTCGGGCACAATGGCGCGCCGCGGTCTCGACAAGGACGGGTCCAACCTTGATATCCTCCGCGCCCAGCTCGAGGCCGCTGCGAGAGACCGCAACAGCGACGTTACGGGAGAGAAGGTTGACATTATCCACATGTTACCCGATGAGTTCGACCCGGCCACCGCCCCTACCGAAATGCCCGAGTCGTTCCGCGACCTGGCTTCGTACTACTGCACTAGCAGGGCCACAGCGACTTACCCTCGAGTCCCTAACCTTTGCTTGCCGCGAAGCTGGGACATCTTGGGCAATTTTGACGCCTTTGCCTGGAATCAGCTGATCAGCCCAAGGCCGTTCTTGGCAACCACTGGTACCAAAGCTGCTTCGAAGTGGTATAGCGAGGATGCTGTTGCAAAGGCCAAGGAGCCGAAGGAGCTGCTTGTTGTTGATGGACTTACCCATGCCGACTTGTATGACAATGTGGAGGTTGCCGGCCTTAAGCTCAATGAGTTCTTCGGCAAATATCTTGTCTAAGGTAGATGGTCGTTGACTCAGTGCTGTTGACGAATAAATATATAATTTATGGGTAGGCTCGATGCGCTTCGGCCTTGACAGTTGAGCTTGATACCCAAACGATCAACCAGTCAATAGGAACCTCAAAATCTGATGTTTACGACTGTGAATGGATTCAAGTTACTCGAGATTCTCATCTTTAAAACAAATCTTCGTTGAACGAGCACTTTTGAGTCCATAGACAATGGCTAGCCATCATCGCATGCTATTTACCAGCTTGCGGCGACCACCTTTGAGGCTCTGTGTCTTGTCTCCTGAACCTCCATTGTTGCCACAGGCTCTGTCACTTGATGAGGTGGTATCAAATTTCAACGCTTTCAAATGCTGAACGCTCCTATATCGCCATGCAATCGTGCTGTAATCCCCCCGTCATGATATTCTTCCACATTTTCAACATCCTAAGCAGCATCGCATGAGAGGGAGCCGCTGCCCAAGTCATTGCAGGAACCACTGCGCTTTTGGCCCTATAGAGTGCACACAGGTTAGTCAGAAGTTCCTGGGAACAGGGAATTGTTGTTCCTGCGATGGACATACATTGCAGGTCGCTGTGCAGGCGTCGCCACGGTTGTTGCATGCTGTCTCGGTGTAAGTGCAGCAGTTGATGCTTGGGTTGCACTTCTGGGGCTCGGGCAGAGCGACTGCAAGGGCAGTGGTAGCGAGCGCGACGAGAACGAAGAAACGCATTTTGACGTGTGTGTAGGAACGTTATGGAGGAAAGTCGAGATCAGTCGATGGATGGCGTGTGTGCATAGGTGGTGGAGGTGATCGAGAAGAACTGGAGTTTCTCCATTTATAGGTATTCATTGGATTCCTGCAGGGCTATAAATAACGAGTATACTAAGAGATCCGCATTCTGTTATCAAGATTCGAGAAGAACTCTCTTTGATAGATTGTTAGAGATGTTGAGTCAGTTACCCTGCAGGTGCTCCAGTCACTTGGCGGCCTCTATGTGGGATGCTGTCGTTAATTAATTCGGGACCACTTGAAACAATCCAAACGTCGGTCTCAATATTGGCACATATACAACTGGTTCTGGTCGTACGGCCAAGCCGGAGTTGTCCATAATCATGAATTCCGTCGACGGAGAGACCGGAAAGCTTTCAGTTCACCTCAAGTTACCTTAGGTACTAGTAGGCGATTAAAGAGCGAAGACCACTCCCTTTTTGTGCCTTACACGTTGGGAATTGCATCAAGTCGCAAAGACTACAGTCACTCCCTGGATGACAGACGTGGTTTCATATGCGAAGCCGGGTGGCTTCACACCACATGATTGGCTTTTCTACCCAATAGCAATGATACCTGCGATCTGACTTGAGGTCATCGAGGACTTTCTATCGCGAATGCGATAACATGGTGCGGGTAATATAAGGTTCTAAGAAACTCTAACATATTTTCCGATGACTCAATCCAGCAACTGATAGATCATCCGCGGAACGCACGCGTATCTTGTTCCCTGGGTTGTAATCATTCCGGGATGAGGGTGCCGTCTTCAAAGCTTGATGCGTCCGAGTTATGAGTGAAGTGTCTACAAGATAAGGAGGTGCAATATACTCCAAAGCCCTTGAGAATTGAGGTAGTCTGAGGCTCGATTAAGCAGTTCCCTGATACCATTTCCTTTGACATAATGAGAGGTCTTGACTTATTGAAAAGGTGGACGAAGGGATGGAAGACAACTGGCAGATGCTGACGTAACCACACCGCGAACAGCGCAAATTCGTCCCTTGGACCCCTATTTAAGGTTTCATCCTTTTTTTTTTGAGCTGATCACGGGCACGTGGCGGGTCTGATCGGGTGCTTTGGCGAATCGCAAGCGCCAATTAAGCGAGATGAGATGGGCATCTCGTGCCTGGAATCCCGGGGGAAGGATCGGATGGGATGCACCTGAGTCTTGGGGTTGCGCGCGCCCAACGTTCGTGATCCGAATTCCCCATCTTCTCTCTTTTCTTTGCAACCCGCACCACACCACCACAACACCATCGGCGCAAGCTGCAGATCATCGATGACCTCACTCCTTTGAGTCGCATATCGGCCGCATTTGCGGCTGGCCACAATCATTATTGCTACATTACTACATACCAAAGTCACTCATTAGTCTGGAGAGGGGCGTCCGTTGGGACCCCTCCCTACCCACTCTCTTTAACAATGCGTAGCACCGCTCTTTCATCGCTGTCGCAACTATTCCTTCTGCTGATCGCATCTTCGCCGAACCATGTCGTCGCTGACGGCACCGTCTGGGCAACGCCCCACGATAGCTACTCCTCCTCAGTAGGCGTCCTCGGCTGCAAGATCAATACCGATCGCGTCGCCTACTGGCCCGGCTCCGTAGACTGCACCAACCTCTGCATCTCCCTCACCTACGACGACGGCTCCTCCGACGGCAAGCGCACCGTGAAACTCCTCCGAATTGACCAGTCCCAGGGCGCCTACGACGTCAGCTACGATGCCTGGAACTACCTGTACACGGGTAAATCCGCCAAGAAGGCGCCTGTCGCAGGCGGGCCGCTGGCCATGACATACAAGGAGCTGCCGGCGGACGACTGCAAGGAGCTCCTCAAGATCAAAAACAAGAAGCTGCCGCTCAGCGCGTCCAACAGCATGAACTTCCTCGCCAGCTGCCTCGACCAGCCGGACAGCTGGGTGGCTAAGAATTTTGGGCTGTACAATACACTGGATTCGGTCTGCGCATGGGGATACGACGAGGAGTGCGAGCTGGATTGGCCTGCGGCGAACCAGCCCACGTGCAAGCACTCGCTCGGAATGCCGGTAGAGCTGAAAGATGCACCAGTGTATAACGTGCAGTATCCCACAGGGGAGGTTGTCGTCGCGTCCACGGGGGAGAAGGTGTCGAGTCCCGGGGATAGTACCAGCCTTGCGGCGCCATCGCCGACACAGAACGGGGCCCCGAGCAGGGGCATGTTGACATTGTTGATGGCTGGCTCACTAGTATGGACGTGCCTCATGATAGGTTCATGCTAACGTTGATGAAAAGGGCCAGGAAATGCTGTTCATATACCACACGAGATACCATGTAATACCCCCCCATGTCTTACGACAATAATGTCAAATACCACCACCTTACCTTATTCTACTTCACCTTATCCCCGCATGTCACCAATCTCAGCAGGGTCCAGTGGGAATGCGCACGGGACCACCCGCATCGTTAAAGATTGACTGTTGAGCCTCGCCCGAGACAGCTGTCTCTAGGGAAATTAAGAGCATTTCTTTTGCCGCTGTGGGAAATTGCCGATGTCTTGCTCTGAGGATCCTGAGAAGGTATTTTCTTGTCTAATGCATCATATCATCGATCATTCGTCCCCATCAAGGAACTGGCTGAACCGTGGTAGCCCACACAAACTGGGTATCGTCGAAACGATCTCGGCGATGCTACAATATATCGAGTTATGGCGTAAGTATGGATGGCTCAAAAGCCTCAGCAGAGCTGAGGTGTCTCTCAAATCTATTCTCGGCCCCTCAAGGCCTGTTTTTGTCTATCGTCTAATGATCCCAGTTTTTTCTCTTGCTTTATTCAGAATTCGCTTGCGCCATGTATGCAATGAAATGGAAGTAATGCTGACATGCTCATGTAAGAGCCACACCGGGAAGAATTACGCTCCTCCTCTAGAGACCTTCGACTTCTCCCACGTGTCGGAAATGCCGGTGCCATGAGGACAATAAGGAGCAGACCTCTTATTTCGTCTTGAAATAGTCCCGGAACTTTTCGCGAATCTCATCCTCCTCAAACTTCCTCGTATGTCTCCGCAGCATCGTCGCCCGCTCCTCAATCGTCATGCCAATCTGCTCACCAACCGGCACTAGGCACTTTGCCAGGTGCAGGTAGTCCTTCTGAAGCAGCTTGACCGTCACCATGAGATAGTCGATATTGTGGAACACGAGCGCCTTTTCGCGAATATATGTCTTCTTCTGCTGCAAAAAGGACGTGGGGTGGTCACGCCAGTGACGGCGGGGGTTGAGATGGTGCGACGTGTGGTAGCCGTCGTTGTAGCAGTATCGGTTGCTCTGATGAGGTGGTCAGTGGTCAAAACGATCTTCATCCTTGGCAATGTGGGGTCTGTGGAGGGGAGGTCCCCTTGGCGAATGCTTACCGGCACATCAATCAGGGTGATGCTGGAGCGGAAGTCCGAATCCGGCTCGTCGGCATCGACAAAGGCGTGTTGGCCCCAGTTGCCGACCATCAAACCCAATCTCATGAGCGCGAGGGGCCCGAGGAAGACGAAGGTCGTTGCCTTGCTGTGGAGGCAGTACAGGGTGTACAGGAAGGCGTAGTTGCCGAGCTCCCAGAATCCCGTCTTGAGGCCGTTCTTCGTCTGGCCCTTGCGGAAGAAGTACCGCGGCAAGTCAAACCAGACCAGGAAGATGAAGCGTCCGACGTAGTGCAGGAAGTGGAAGATATCGTCACGCTGGTAGCGGATGGTGGACGACAGATCGTGGGGCCCGTTGCCCTCGACGTGGTGGTGCTTCACGTGGTGGTAAAAGTACGTGTTCCAGGTATGGCCCATGAGGGGGTCGGTGATGTAGGGGAACGCGGCGTCGAAGAAGCGCAGGACGGCCCAGTTCTTTGAGAGGATGCCGTTCATGTGGATGTGCTGGTGCATCATGAGGGTGTAGGTGCCGGTGAACCAGAACTGCATGAGCATGTGCGCGACGCCGTGGATGTAGTTGAAGTTGCGGAAGAGCATGATGGCGCTCGGTACTGAGAGGGTGAAGTAGAGGATTAGGTGTGTGAGCATGATGACGTCGGTCTCGTGGCGGACGATTTTGCGCCCCCAGGCGACGTAGGGGACGACGACATTTTGATAGATGACGGCTGGGAGCTTGTGGGGGAGATCGCGCAGGTCGAATGATGAGAAGACGGATGGCTCAAAGTCTTGACTTGTTGCGTCGTTGAGACCTTTCAGCTTGCGGATGTCCTTGGCGTCTCTCTGATTTGAAACTCCGCGGCA